TGGCGGGGCGGCTCTTGGCTGCGAAGCATTCTCTCCAGCATGTCCTCGGTGGCCTTGTGTTCGGCGGCCATGCAGACCGGGAATTTCCACATCCCCGGTGGGCACGTCCTACCACCTTCAGGAAACGCGCGTGCCAACTCTCTGCAGAGTTGTTTCCTCTCGGCTGGCCCTGGTTCATGAGCGGGTGTACGGACCACAGGTCAGGGGGAAACTTGGGCGGCGCGCGCACGACCAGGCCATTGGGAAGTGTCCACGGGGTTTCCCGACCACGTAGTTTTTCTCGAACCATTTCAGGAGCGCAGCTGCCTGTGCTGGAAAGCTGGGCTTGATCTCTTCATACCCCTGGATATAAAAAATAAAAAACTAATAATTACACCTCCTAGAATTTTGACTAAAAGTACGAAACTGCTAATGAAACGGTAATGCGTACGCACCCGACGTATTCGGTGAGAAGGCAGGAAGGATAGCGCGCAGAGTTGCCGCACTGAGCTCGCAAACGTGGCGTCGTTCACGTACAGGGTCTGAATCCCTGTCTTCTGCACACGCCGGAAGACATTTTGAGACAAATGAAAAAAAACAATCGTGGGGTACGCTGGCTTGAAACACGCGACGCAACGCGTTAATCGCAGCCACCTCAAAGTCAGTTGCAATACACCCCGGAGACAAGGGGAGTCCATGGCGCCCGGCAATGTCGACAAGGGCCTGCGTGATGAATCATGAACACAACATTAGAGTTTGCAAATAAAAATAAAACGCACAATGTGTCGCTATTATTTTACGTTAGCATATACAGAGTGCTTGAAATAATTTGACCAGACTTTGTTTAAAAGAGGGCGCGAGTTAGACGAGTGCCGTCTTTACTGTGGATTTATCGGGTTATGGGGATTTTAGATGAAGGGTACTCGCCGTGATATATGTTGAATAATTACTTAAATATCTTAATAACATTTTTAATTACCTCGCATTTATCACATATATGCTCTCAAGCAGCGCTTCGCATAAAGAATTCCTTTGAATAAAATCAAACGCCCGGTATAGTTATCGACGAACAGCTGATGTCATCGAACTTACATTGAAGAGGTGCAGGTAAGCAGTTTCGGTCTTCGAAGATAACAGGCTGTAAACCAGAGGCAAAGTGACCGTGCGCCCTCCGATCACTTTGACGCCGTGGAATGTGTAAAGCTGATAAAACTGGCGCGGCACAGTCTAAAGGTCCCGTCGCACAGAACCGTTGGCGACTGAAAGAAAAATAACAATTAGGATGGACAGGGGTACACACAACACGAAGTCAGTCTCTCCACGTGTCATATATGACCGACATATTTACCTGTGAAAGGTGGCCCTAGGCTTTCCACAGTCGCAAAAGCTATGCCGCGCGTTCCGTCTGGAGCCGTGTCGTCCAGCTGAAGGAATTCTCGTTCCCCGTCAATTTTGTCGAAAGGGTCACCAGACCGGCCAAGTTGGGTGGCTCTGGGGGGAACAGTGACGCCCTCTTCCTGCGTATATCGTTCTTCCTAGAGCGTCCGCAGCTGAAAGTGACTGGCGCGCCTCAGGATTCATGGCCCCACCGATTTGCTGTGGAAAGACAAGATGCAAATCGTTATACACAAGCGAACTTGTGGTTATATTTATGCAGGATATTCATCACATATCGCACATAATATATGTAACGGGACTTGTATAACGGGTATAATGGGACACGCATTTTTTGTTTCTCTCGCTCTGAAAATTTTTAGGCGTTAAAAGTTCGCGGGGGTGCATCAAGATCATTTGATGGGCTAGTAACTAGTTGGTTGAACATCAAGACTGCGCATTAAAATCGCAAAGGACTAAGACAAGAAGGGGACAGAACAGGGCGCTTACTTACGACCGATGTAAGTAAGCGCTCTTTCCCGCCCCGTTCTTTTCCTCTTAGTCGTTTGCGCTTTTTATTACACAGTCTAGATCAGGGGTGGCCAAGCTGCGGCTCGCGAGCCGCATGCGGCTCTTCGCGTGTTACAGTGCGGCTCGCGGCTCCCTCCTCTACCCCCGCCCCCGCCCCCCCCCCCCCCTACAACAAACACACACACACACTCCCCCGCCTCCCTCCCGGTCACACGAGCATTTTCCCAAAAAGGTTGATGGAACGCGTTTTAAATCGAAAGACAGGTAGCGGTTTGGTAGTCTTGTGCTACTGCTACTTTACGTACAGTGAAACTGCTTTTGACTCAGATAGATAGAAAGTAGTCCGAGTTTCGTTTACTGCTCTAAACAAGATTCCCCCCCCCCCCCCCCCCCCCCCTCGCGGCTCTTGGAAGTTTCTAGGTTTTATTTGCGGCTTTTAGGCCGGGTTAGCCTGGTCACCCCTGGTCTAGATGTTCGCAGGGGTGACCCAGCGGCAATACACAAAACGTGCCTGAAGAATCTGGACCGGTGCGCTGGTGGTTCGGAGCGCCCTTTCTTTGATGCTTGTTACTGCTTCCAGCACATCGGCCCGGGTAGAGTCTGGACGGTGGCTCTCATGGGGTTTCAACGAGACGACCTCGTGCTCCCCATTAAATGCATCGCGTACAGTAACGACACGACCCCGACATTCACCATATTGTTCACATTTCCAGTAAACCCGGCAGTCGACTTTCTTGTCAACCACGTACGCGTAGCCATCGAGACAGAGCTTCGGCTTGCCACGCGTGGTCTCCCGCATCTCCATGTCAAGAGTGCGAATCCTTACCGGGTGAACCATTTTATAGCCCACCTCGAACACGAAGCTTGTGAATCCCGGATCCTGTGTGGTAAATTACAAAGAAGACATCGGTTTGTCTTTCAGTTTGTGTTGCCCTTTATGTTTAGTGACTTCGGCCCACAGAGTAACATAAGCTACTGTTCACCACACACTTTTCACTCTCTCTTGTCCTTTGTCCCCAAAACAAGCCTAGACTGGAACCACCTCCCCTTCACTATAATCTTTATCACCGACGCTTTTGCCTATAAATGATCTTCAGGACGCCTTCTGAGGAAGGCCGACCCGCACCAGACAATAAATAGTGAAGACCTGGGTGCACTGTGTCACCCAAGAAGACTGAACCCTTCCGGATCCTCACATAACCCAAGGTTACACGTACACGCTGTCAGAAAATAAAACACTACCCGCTTCCCCGAAAGCACATCCTGCTTTCTGTTTTTTTTTTTTTTTTGTCTCATTTTTAATCGTTTCGTGTGACATGGGGATGGGTCATTGTTTCATAGAGGCTTTCTTTTCGAAGCAGGATATGTTCACGATGGAACTTATCTCGTCACTGCACGCTGTGATATAAAAACAAAAACAAAACAGAAAAACAGAAAGAATTAGATTAAGTTGTGTATAAAAATTTAAATAAATTTTAAAAAAATATTACATGCTGTAACGGCTTTCGATGAAAAGGCGTTCGATGAAACGGCTTTTATGAAACGACGTTCGATGAAACGGCGTTCGATGAAACGGCGTTCGATGAAACGGCGTTCGATGAAACGGCTTCGATGAAACGCCGTTCGATGAAATGTCCGGACCCAGCATAAAACTAACTCCGTTTCACCTTATGACGTACCGCAGGAGGGGCTACAAGCGCGAGCTCTTTGGTCTAGTGCACATCTCGGCAACGCTATGAGCTCGCGCTTCGAGTCTTCGCTGCGGTACAACATAAGGTGAAACAGGGTATAGGCATCGCCGAACGCTCAAGCCCGATTCAGATGGTGCGATTTTGCTCGCGAATTCGCAGCTGCGACGTTGACGCGAGAAAACAAACGCTATACTTTTTTTTTTTTTTCGGGGTCACTCAGAAGATAGGTTGTTCGTACCGCTCACCAAATGCGTCCCCTATCGTATACTTGCTGAGTTTTGTCGTCGACGGAGCCACTCGGCTTTGCTTGTGCGTTTCACGCACAGCAAAAACGACGCAAATAACTTGCAAGGAATTTATATATTTAAACCGTAACTAATTAGAAAAACTTAAATTTAAGGAACATTGAAATCCAAAATTTTGTTTTCAAGTGCCTTGACAGTGGACATGTATGTTACACTGCAACAAAACAACCCGTACCCCTTAAAAAATAAAAAAAAAAAATAACGCGCAATTATTACGCTTTAAGACTTATGTGCAAAGTGTCGGACACTGTCCGTCCACATGGCATAACGCTGCCTACCGGAAGCGAAAAGGCGTTCCGCCTTTATTGCTTGAGTCCAGTGTTATACGGAACGGCGTTCCAAGGAACGACGTTTCTGGGACGGAGGAACGGGGAAACGACGCCATTCCACCTACACCCGTTTTCACCTCAAAAACAGTAGTAAAAAAAAAAAAAAAAAAGTCTGCAGCTGCTTGCGGAGCATTACTAAGTTCCCCCGTTTATGCTGATGATTAAGATATATGTTGGTGAATTTTAGATCAGATAGATATGTATGTTATCTTGTCAAGATGCACACGTCCTAAACGCCAAAAGCATCGCTTTTTCCTCCGACAACTAAATTTCATGAGAACTACTTGGCGCCGCGTATAAACAATGCGCAAAATTTGATTTTTCCTTGAGGTGAAATTGGGTATTGCATCGGTGGAACTCGTGACGTTTTCGGGGGCAGAAGCGTTCCTTCTTTATTTTTTTTTCTCTATCTCTCTATTTATTTGCATTTTTACCCGACTTTAGTGGGACTTGGGCTTTTTGTTATCGACTATATAGTCTATATTTCTGATTTTGAGGGAAGGGGAAGTGCCTGAGGTCGAAAGCAAAGAACTGGAACTAATGTGATCGTGGCGACGTTTGGGTGTCATTATTTTCCCTCGCTCGCTTTATTTTATCTACGGATTATCTAGCGGAATAGTTCCTTCAAATACGTAAATGCAACGTTAAGGTAACGACACGTTCCCAACTTAGACAAACGAACCTCTGGAACTTGGAACTTGAACCCGTTCCCAGATAGAGAAGGAACGAGTTCTCATGCCTGTTTCGGAGGAACGTGGAGACGACTGCTTGACGGTTGTTCCCTCGCGCAGATCTACTCGCGGTTCCGGCTGTCCTCGGCGTCGTCCCACTGGTCCCGGGCGTGGAACGGCGTCCTGTTGGCGTGCCTCCTGCTGCTGGCCTGCCTGAACGCGGCATCGCGCGTCTACGACCGGAGGCACCACGCCGTGGACGTGCTCGCCGGATCCTTCTTCGGCCTGCTGGGAGGACTGGCCGCGGTGAGCACCCCCCGCCTGCCTGCCTGCGTGTGCGCGTGCGCGTGTGTGTGTGTGTCTTTGTGTGTACACGTGTGCGCGTGTATGTGTCTGTTTGCGTGTGTGTGTGTGTGCAGTTGCGTCGGAACAAGGGGGGCAGTGGGGGGCGATCGTTCCCCCCCCCTCCCCCCTCTCAAAGCCATCTTTTAGTAATGGCGGCTCGCGAGTTCGACAGTTCGTAAATTTCTCAAAGTGCCGGTTTTTTTCAAGATATTTCGCGGGCACGCATATTTTCCAGATTCCGTGTGACATGCTAAATATTCATCACCATGTAATTAATATTTGAGGCCCAAATTATTTGCAGGTATTTCTGAAATCGCGACATTCGCGAAAATTAGGTTTTTGCGGAAATGGACGCTTTTCTGAATTTTTGGCTTGGGAATATATGGCTAGAAAACGAGCGCTTTTTGGCCGCAAGTAGCACGTCCATTGACATCCTGTTCGCTCATTGAGTTGTACTGGCGTCCCAAAAGTCGCTTTTCCCCATTGTGGATTACCTTGCACTCCGAGGTCACCAGTAAGAAGTGCTCTGCCTCCTATTCGACTAGCGCTGAGAGAGATATTAGGGAGTTTTAGTAGACCGTGTTTCCCCCACCGCTAACCCTCCGCCAGGAAGATACCGCCACCGTGCCTGCGCGCCGATAGCCTTGACTGTAGAGTTCTGTGTATCGTAGCGGGTTGCGGAGAGCCGTTGCGGGACGGCGAAAACCATCTACGAAAACTCCCTAATAAAACAGATCCATTTACTGTCCAAGCCATATTTCGGAAGTCCACATTAGGGAGTTTTCGTAGATCGTTTCCGCCGTCCCGCAACGGCTCTCCGCAGCCCGCTACGATACACAGAACTCTACAGTCAAGGCTATCGGCGCGCAGGCGCAGTAGCAACTTCTTCGTTGCGGACGGCTTAGCGGAGGGGGAAACGCGGTCTGCGAAAACTCCCTATTATTAGCATTCTCTACGCTTAAAGACCGACCAACGAAACCATTTTCCGCAAGGTAGGAAAATGCCCCTCGCGCCCTCCTCTTTTCACCCTCTCCCAAAAATCACGTGACGGCAGGGGCTCGTTTTGTGTCGGCTTTTTATGTAGGGATAATCCTCAAAAACCGCGAAATGAGCGGCTAGCTGCGAGCGCAACAACGACCTTGAAACGTCCAGGTGTCTTCCCTCGTTGACGCGGGCACGCTCAATCCGCGAGATTGAGGAAGCCAGCGCGACCGAACGCTTTTTCCCATGAGCTGCAGGTCCGAGGCCGCTCGGTCGGTGAAGATCGAGGGATCTTGGTATGCTGGGTTCGTTCCAGCAGCCGCTCTCTGGCATCGCGCGGCTGCTGGAACCATTCCCGTCTCTGCACAAGGATTGGCTTGCGCAATAAAGGGTTCAGGTCGTCGATAATACATTTATTTCCGAAACTTATAAATCAAGTGGCTTTCCCTAATCTCTTCATTACTGTTTGAAACACATCTCCTCTCATAGGTTGTTCATCCCATTTTGGACTCTTTTACTTATTTATTCGTCCTTACCTCTGCTTGATGACTGTTTTATAGCTTGACAAAGACCTTTAAATATTGGCGCGGGCTTGAGCGATCAACGCTGTCCCGGATTTATTCAAAATTGGAAAGATTGGCGTCAGGAGGGGTTGAAGAAGCAAACCGTAATTCTAGCTTCTAATGAAGGTGGCACAATCGTAAGGTCGGTCTATGCTTCACTAGCCTCCACAGCGCCCCATCGTTTGCACTATCGCAACTTCTCAGTGACATAGCTGTATACCACATTTTACTGATGGTTACTATAGATGTGGCCCCACAGGCTTTCCCGTTATCTGCGAGTCGACTTTTTAACGACCGGCGACTCTCCTGAGTGAGAATAAATATTATCACCTTCCCACAACATCCACACCTTTCTCTCCCTCCCCCCCTCCCCTCCCTTTCCCGAGTTGGGGAAATATCAGGCCACTCCAGGGAAGCAGCCTGCAGACTGCGCTTTTCGGCTACTCATTCTCAACATATTCAAACGTGGAAGTAAGCACATCGCATGAACGACGCCCAGTTTATTTGCAACCTAAATAATGTGGCTCTACTGTTGGGGCCCAATCAATTTCATCATCAATCATTTTTTGTTACGACTTCATGGTGAAAGTGTGTTCGTCGTGATGCCACAAAAGTGGTTGATTCAAAGGGAGAAATAGGTCCTCGTATTTATTTTGCGGAAATACGCGCTCCTGTGACGCTCTAGTGCGCAAGGTCAACGCACCCGAGGCGATGCGTAATGCTTTAAAACTGTCGTTGACGATAAAATATTTGTGGGAAGTGCGTAAAATTGTTTACATCACAAAAGCATACCGAAAGACAACGAAATATTGCAATGGCTACAAAAAAATCATAAAAAAAAATCAGCCGGGGCGCTTGGGAAAATTGCAAATCATCTATTTGTCCCTTTTAATCGATCACTTTTGTGGCATCACGACGAACACACTTTCACCATGAAATCGTAACAAATAATGATTGATGATGAAATTAATTGGGTCCTAACAGTATAGAGCCGCATTATTTAGGTTGCAAATTAACTGGGCGTCGTTCATGCGATGTGTTTACTTCCACGTTCGAATGTGTTGAGAATGAGTAGCCGAAAAGCGCAGTCTGCAGGCTGCTTCCCCTGGAGTGGCCTGATATCTCCCCAACTCGGGAAAGGGCGGGGGGAGAAAGGGTGGATGATGTGGGAAGGTGATAATATTTATTCTCACTCAGGAGAGTCGCCGGTCGTTAAAAAGTCGACTCGCTCATAACGGGAAAGCCAATGGGGCCACATTTATAGTAACCATGTGTAAAATGTGGTATACAGCTATGTTACTGAGAAGTTGCGACAGTGCAAACGATTGGGCGTTGTGGAGGCAAGTGAAGCAAAGACCTATCTCACGATTGTGCCATCTTCACTAGAAGCAAGATTTTCGGTTTGCTTCTTCAACTGCTCTTGACGCCAATCTTTCCAATTTTGGGTAAATCCGGGACAGCGTTGATCGTGCAAGCCCGCGCCAATATTGAAAGGTCTTTATCAAGTTATCACACAGTCATCGAGCAGAGATAAGGACGAATAAATACGCAAAAGAGTCCAAAATGGGATGAACAACCTATGAGAGGAGATGTGTTTCAAACAGTAATGAAGAGATTAGGGAAAGCCATTTGATCTATAAGTTTCGAAAATAAATGTATTATCGACGACCTGAACCCTTTATTGCGCAAGCCAATCCTTGCGCAGACACGGGAATGGTTCCAGCAGCCGCGCGATGCCAGAAAGCGGCTACTGGAACGAACCCCGCATACCACGACCCCTCGATCTCCACCGACCGAGCGGCCTCGGACCTGCAGCTCATGGGAAAAAGCGTTCGGTCGCGCTGGCTTCCTCAATCTCGCGGATTGAGCGTGCCCGCGTCAACGAGGGAAGACACCTGGACGTCTCAAGGTCGTTGTTGCGCTCGCAGCTAGCCGCTCATTTCGCGGTTTTTGAGGATTATCCCTACAGAAAAAGCCGACACAAAACGAGCCCCTGCCGTCACGTGATTTTTGGGAGAGGGTGAAAAGAGGAGGGCGCGAGGGCCATTTTCCTACCTTGCGGAAAATGGTTTCGTTGGTCGGTCTTTAATTTGGTTCACTATAACTAAATTAGAAAAACTTAAATTTAAGCTACATTAAAATTCATAATTTTGTTTTCAAGTGCCCCGTTAGTGGATGTTTGACAATGTGACAAAATACCCCCCCCCCCCCAACCTCCATAGTACTTCTGGCGCCACTGTGTGTGTGTGAGTGTGTACTTATGCCCGAGTGTACGTTCAAATATGTGGGCGTGCATGTGAGCGTGTATGTGTGTGTGCGTGAGTATAGGTGTGAATATATGCGTACGTGAGTGTGTGCGCTTGTATGTGTGTTTGCGTGAGTCCGTATCGTGCGTGAGTATACGTTTGAATATGTGCATGTCTACGTGAGTGTGTGCGCGTATTTGAGTGTGCGTGTATGTGTGTATCTATGTGCATGTCTGTTTGTGTGTGTGTGTTTATGTACAGAGCGCGACAACTGTTAGCGCGAACAAGCGATCGCCGGTTTTTCCAATTTTTCTCTTTGAAACCAAGGGATGTCATTCGAGTTAGTATTGCTACGGAAAGAGCTCATTTAGTTCCATAATGTAAGCGACAAAAATTTCGTGCTCGCAAATACTATTTAGAAATAAAATGCGCCAATGTCGTGTTCGCGCTAACAGTGTCGCGATGTGTACATGAGTGTGAATTTGTGCGTGCGTATGTTCGTGTGCGTTACTCTGTATGTCTGCGTGCGTATGTGCGTGACAGTGTCTGCGTGCGTGGGTGTGTGAAGGTGGGTGCTTGCGTGCGTATGGGAATGTGGGTGCTCGCGAACTGTAAAGCAACTGGTTCAACGTATTTAGATGGACACTGAACTCCCGAAACCAGAAACTGGAAGGATTAACGGGTCGAGAGCTCTTTCTTGATTCGGTGGATGATGGTGCATATGGCCGTTCTTGGTTGATGGAGCGATTTGTCCGGTTAATACCGATAACGAACGAATTATTTTTTTTTCTAGGTGCCTGGATGGGACGGATATATGTCACGGAACAAACTTTACCCGAAATAAGAAAAAAAAAAGGAGACGAAATTTTGGCGCAACGTTCGCGTTGCGAGACACAATTTGAGTTCGAAGCGATTCCGCAACAAGCCTCTATTTTCAGACGTAAACGCGAAATTGAAGCATGCTTGAAAACAACAATTTTTGTACTTTGCACAAATACCGCTTAAAACTGATCCCTGACGTTTATGACCTATAAAACACGCATTCGTTTTTCACCCCACGCAATAGAAGTCCCAGAAAAAAAAATTAAAGAAAAACGAGCAGCGTTTACCCCCTCAACTCGCAGCCAGAGCAAGCGGCCACGTGATCTTGAGCCGATTATATGCCGCCAAT